GCTTTACTCCCATGAAAAGCCGTGAATGTTTTAAAGTAGAAAGAAACTGGGGGTAAAATGTGTAATTTTTCATATAAAGTCCAAATCTGCTCCTAAATAGGCTTCAAATAAGCTTTTTAAATCACCAAACAGCATTTAAATTCATGATAACCCCACTGAAAAATCCAGCTAAAACCAGCCAACCAGCTTAGGCTGGTTTAATCTGGATTTTTCAGTGGGGTTATCATGAATTTAAATGCTGTTTGGTGATTTAAAAAGCTTATTTGAAGCCTATTTAGGAGCAGATTTGGACTTTATATGAGAAATTACACATTTTACCCCCAGTTTCTTTCTACTTTAAAACATTCACGGCTTTTCATGGCAGTAAAGCAGCAATATCGGCTGTGGTTTTGGGCTGAAATGTGTGTCTGATGCTTCATAAGAGCAGCGCTTCTCTACTGCATTGATGATACTGACCGACTGATTGAGCTCAGTTATGCTGTAAAGCTGAAGACGTTTGTGCATGTACTGAAGGGAAGCTTATGAACACGTCACTAGATAGATATTAGGAGAAAAGCTTTAGTTCCAGCTGTAGTGGAGATGAAAGCGGCCGATGTAGATCTGTTTATTCAGTCACTGTTGAGCTTTTATTTTGAACTCTGTACACTGATGAACGTCGCGCTGCTCATTTCCATGTCGTCACACTCTGGATAACTGCCGGGTTGTTGTCTGACGTGTACAAGCTCAACAGTCTTTTATTATTTAATAAAAAATGAATAAATAAACCCACATATCTGACCCAGCGTTGAATTAAAACAACCCAGCATTATAGATGGTGTGAATACAAGCTTATTTCTGCCACTGAATTAAATTAAAAGCCAAATAAAAGATTTGTTTTCTTGCAGTTATTGACGGGAAAATTAATTTTAGAGAGTGAATCTGAACACTCAGGATTTTGGAGGGAATCAGCAGGCCGTTACAGACATTTATTCAGCAGTTGTGAAAATATGATTAACTCTTAAGCTTGCACATTAAAAATAACTGAGTCTCATCATTATTTTCAGCTCTATATTAGCATTCAGTGGCAGAAATGTGTGTGTGTGTGTGTGTGTGTGTGTGTGTGTGTGTGTGTGTGTGTGTGTGTGTGTGTGTGTGTGTGTGTGAGAAAGGCCAGTGATTTAAGGCAAGCTAAACACAAACCCACAGTCTGTGCAAACATCAGTGTGTGTGTGTGTGTGTGTGTGTGTGTGTGTGTGTGTGTGTGTGTGTGTGTGTGTGTGTGTGTGTGTGTTTCTGTTTTTATTGAGCAGCGGAACAGAAGAGTGTTCTCCAGCAGTTTCTCCAGTGTTTTGTGTTCTGCGTTTGCCTCATTTTCATTTCTATTAAAATATTTGTTGATTACCAGAGCGACTCGGATGGGTTATTGACAGGGCCGGACGGAATCTGCGGACGTTTTTTGCTATTTCTGCTGAGAATTTTGGTAAAAATCTGCGAATTTCTGCTGAATTATTTTGGAAGTATCCAGCAGAGTATCATAACTAAAACCTTAATACAGGGGTTTTCAAAGTGTGAGGCGCGCCTCCCCTGGGGGGCGCCAGAGCATGTCAGGGGAGGCGCGGAAAAATATTATATAATAAAATTATAATTATTAAGTTTAATTATTATATGTATTTTTTATTATATTTAAACATTTTAATTAAGCAAAGCTAAAAAAAAAAATAATACGTCAAAAATAAGAAAACCTTTTTTACCCAGAAGGCCATAGCTGTGAATTCGCTTCTGTTTGGCAAGCCCGCCAATACAGGTATATGCCTGCTAATACAATGGATCGGTTTCTGAGACCCCCCCCCCCTCGATTTAAAGCCTTCAAGTTCAGGGCTTAAACCCAAAAGACGACGATATGATGATCAGTATTTGAGTTTAGGATTTACGTGGACAGGACCAGCTGATGAACCACGACCTTTATGTGTGGTTTGTCAAGATATTTTGGCTAATGACAGCATGAGACCCGCTAAACTTCCACTGTTTTGACTGGGATGACCAGTTCTTGGATCTGTTCTATTCATATTGAACCATCATCCTAGTTTTAAAAATGTTATATTAAAATACTTGTTATTACTCTGTAAATAATCGACCTTTCATGCAAATGATGATAAAAGTGAGTTAACAGTCTGACATCTGTCTGTGTCTTTATATATACTGTATATATATATATATATATATATATATATATATATATATATTTGTGTCAAAAGGGAGGCCCACTGTCTTAGACTTTGAAAACCCCTGCCTTAATATATGAAATAAAAAGTAATAAATTACTGAATAAAAACTGATTAAATTCAGATTTACACATTTACTCAAGTAAATAAACAGAATTAATGATAGACTAAAAATCTGCAAAAAATCTGCGGAATTCTGCGCGCGCAGATTCCGTGTGGGCCTACTTATTGATGATCTTGATATCTGCAGCGAGGTTTATTTGATTTCTTCCTACCGTTTAACATTAGTGATAGTTGCAGATCTGTGTTCATCTCTGCTGTCACTGATCCAGCATTAAACGCTCACTCTAATGCAGTGCAGCTTGAACATTTTCATGATGTACAGTAAGGATTGTGATAGGCTGTTGGGTTATTATATGATAATGAGCAGCTGATTTTATAATATGTGCAGTATTTAATAATAATTCAGTGGCCTGGGGGAAATGTGCTGAGTTGAAGACCTCTAATAGGCATTAGAGCTGGGTGGTTGTTGTTGTTTTGGGTAGTAAAATACTGAAATCAGAACTTTATAGTTTGTTTATGAACTCAGCAGGAGTGACCTGAGAAGCTGTCAATCACGGCTGTCACTCACAGGTGTCAATCAGAACTGTCAGTTACAACTGACAATCACGGCTGTTAATTAATGGCTTTTACTCATTGCTGTCAATCACAGATGTGACTTACGACTGTCAATCATGGCTGTCGATCACGACTCAATCACAGCTGTCAACTATGGCTGTCAATCACTGCTGTCAATCACAGTAATCATGGCCGTCAATCACAGCTGTTACGTCTGGCTGTCATTCACTGCTGTCAATTCTGGCCATCAATCACAGCTGTTAATTATGGCTGTCAATCACGACTGTCAATCACAGCTGTTAATTATGGCTGTCAATCACAACTGTCAATCACAGCTGTTAATTATGGCTGTCAATCACGACTGTCAATCACAGCTGTTAATTATGGCTGTCAATCACAACTGTCAATCATGGCTGTTAATTATGGCTGTCAATCACGACTGTCAATCACAGCTGTTAATTATGGCTGTCAATCACGACTGTCAATCACAGCTGTTAATCATGGCTGTCAATCACGACTGTCAATCACAGCTGTTAATCATGGCTGTCAATCACGACTGTCAATCACAGCTGTTAATTATGGCTGTCAATCACGACTGTCAATCACAGCTGTTAATTATGGCTGTCAATCACAACTGTCAATCATGGCTGTTAATTATGGCTGTCAATCACGACTGTCAATCACAGCTGTTAATTATGGCTGTCAATCACGACTGTCAATCACAGCTGTTAATTATGGCTGTCAATCACGACTGTCACAGCTGTTAATCATGGCCGTAAGTATACATAAGTATAGATAGATAGATATACACATATACTGTACATTAAATACAACAAATTTTTGCAATTTGTATTTATATTTAATATATATACACATACACACACACAATATAGTCATACATCTATTTTTATACACAGTATGCACAAGTATATTTTGTAAATATGAACTTTTATTTTGGATTTGATTAATCAGACTGCACTTATCTATATCTATAAATAGATTATCTCAAAATCAAGTACTCCAGAGCGCTGGTAATCCTGTGCATTACAGCCATTTTAAAGATGCACCTGACTTCAATCACAGTATTTAAATTAATACATCTTGGACATACACAACATTTAATAAATACACACACACATAACACACAGTTTTGGTCCAGCTGCAGGTGTCAGACAGAGACATTCCTTTAGTCTTTCTTCTGTGCGTCCCTGGACTGTTCATCTTCATCATCATTAGCAGGAGGAGGAAGATCTGCATGGTCCGTGATCTGCTGTCTGAAGTCTCTGCGCGCCGCTCTGTTGGACTCCAGCAGCTCCTGCAGTTTCCCGTTCAGAGCATCGTTTCGCTCCTCGATGTCGTCCAGACAGGAGTTGATCTGGTCCAGCATGGAGTCGATGGCTGCGTACTCTAACGAAAACACAGCATAACACATTATAACAGCTGAACGTTGAGGAAAACACATAGCAGCTGTAATCTGGATCACCTCATCAGATTTACCAAAATCAAGTAAGTATTTTTTTAAATACTGCTAATCGGATTACTTTTGTGGATTACATTTACACAGTGGCTGCAAATTATTCACAATTCATTTATTCTCCTCGTGTTTAATGTTTATACTTGTTTATAATAATATCCTGAAGATATATTTTTATTTCTATCTGTCAAAACAGAACAAGATTATCCTGCATCAGTGTATGTGACATCAGAGATGGGTTAGCATAAAAGTAATCTAAATGTAATCCAAAAGTAGTCAGATGGCATTACCATAAATGTATTTTATTACTGACTAATTTTGTCATGTAATTTGTAATCAGTAACTGTGAACAGTTTGAAAGTAATCTAAATGTAATCCAAAAGTAGTCAGATTACATAACCATAAATGTGTAATCTAACAGAATATATTACTGATTATTAATGTTATCATGTAATTTGTAATAATCAGTAATTCAAAAGTAATCTAAATGTAATCCAAGTACTTTGGTTACATTACCACAAATGTGTAATCTAAGAGATTGTATTACCGATTACTAATAATTTGATCATATAATTTGTAACCAGCAATTGATTACTGTTTGAAAGTAATCTCAATTTAATCCAAAAGACGTCTGATTACATTACCAAAAAATGTGTAATCTAAGTGATTATATTACTGACAAAACATTTTCTCATGTAATCTGTAATCAGTAACAGTTTAGTTAATAATCCACATGTAGTGAGATTAGGTTACCTTAAACGTGTAATCCAACAGATTATATCACTGATTACTAATTGTATCATGTAATCAATGATTCAAAAGTAATCTAAATGTAATCCAAGTCCTTTCGTTACATCACCACAAATGTGTAATCTAAGAGATTATATTACTGACTTCTAATTTAGTAATCTGTAATCAGTATCTAATTAGTTCACAAGTAATTTAAATGTAATCCATAGTCAGATTGCGTTACCATAAACGTGTAATTCAACAGAATACATTACTGATTACTATTTTTATCATGTAATCAGTAATTTAAAAGTAATCTAAATGTAATCCAAGTCCTTTGGTACATTACCACACATGTAATCTAATATATTTTATTACTGACTACACAATTTGTCATGTAGTTTGCAATAAGCAGTTGATTACCGTTAAAAAAAGTAATCTAAATGTAATCCAAAAGTAGTCTGATTACATTACCATAATTGTATTATATTACTGACTAGTTTTGTCATGGTATTTGTAATCTGTAACTGAGTACATTTCGAAAGTAATCTAAATGTAATCCAAAAGTAGTCAGATTTACATAATTGCGAAGTCCAACAGAATACAATACTGATTACCAATTTTAAAATGTAATTTGTAATCAGTAATTCAAAAGTAATCTAAATGTAATCCAAGTACTTTGGTTACATTACCACAAATATGTAATCTAAGAGATTGTATTACCGATTACTAATCTGATCATGTAATTTGTAACCAGCAATGATTACTGTTTAAAAGTAATTTAAATTTAAAGACGTCTGATTACATTACCAAAAATGTGTAATCTAAGAGATTATATTACTGACTACTAATTTAGTAATTTGTAATTAGTAACTAATTAATTCACAAGTAATTTAAATGTTATCCAAAAGTAGTCAGATTGCGTTACCATAAATGCGTAATCCAACAGAATACATTACTGATTAATATTTTTATCATGTAATCAGTAATTAAAAGCAATCTAAATGTAATCCAAGTCCTTTTGTTACATTACCACAAATGCGTAACCTAATTTATTTTATTACTGACTGCACAATTTGTCATGTAATTTGTAATCAGCAGTAAAAAAAGTTATCTAAATGCAATCTAAAAGTAGTTAGATTACATTACCATAACTGTGTAATCTAACAGACGAAATTACTACAGATTTTGTCATGTAATTTGTAATTAGCAATTGATTAAAGTTAAAAGGTAATCTAAATGTAATCCAAAAGTAGTCAGGTTACTTGCCATAAACGTCTTATATTACTGAGTAATATTGCCATGGTATTTGTAATCAGTAACTGAGAACAGTTAAAAAAATGTAAATCTAATCCAAAAGTAATCAGATTACATTGCCATAATCTAACAGATTACATTACTGATTACTAATTTTATGATGTAATCAGTAGTTCAAAAGTAATCTAAATGAAATTTAAGTAGCTTGGTTACATTACCACAAATGTGTAATCTATGAGATTGTATTACTGATTACTAATTTTGTCATGTAATTTGTAATCAGTAACTTATTACATTTCATAAGTAATCAGCACAGCTCTGCACACACACACTTCCTCTTTCTTTGGCTCCTCTTTCAGGATGTTTCGCTGACACAACGATGGTTTTAACATCTAGCAGACGTTAGTCATCCACTGGACTTTTCCATTATTTCTGTGCTATTGTAGTGTTCATATTTAAAAAAAAAAAAAAGGTTTTACACTGCAAATATTAAGACCTAAATATGGCATATTATTTAGTACTATTTATTATTTTTTGTTTAAAGTGTGTGTGTGTGTGTGTGTGTGTGTGTGTGTGTGTGTGTGTGTGTGTGTGTGTCTGTCTGTGTGTACTGCAAAGAGTGTTTGTGTGTGACTGATCGTTTCAGAAGGGTTTGAATAAACTCCACCACGAACACATCAAATATTCTGCGCATTTTTGACTAATGAGCTGTATTTCAGC